GTAAGCATTGTGGAAAAGAAGGATCAGACTGCATTTCATGTAAGCACTGGATTTTGTTCTAGCCCATATATACTGTATACTAGTACAGTACAATCGGACTTCCTATTATCAGGTAACGAACCTTTAATATTTTAATAAATGCATGTTTCTTCTGTCAAGATTAGATAATCATAAGGCAAGTACTGAAAAATTGGGGCTTGTTCGGCTATGCATCAATTTATTACCATCCATGTTTGAAATGAAAGCTCACGATCACGTTTAAGTGGCATGATTCATGTTTATGATTGTGAAGTGTTATTGCTACTTGTACCGATAAGATGTTTTGTCATTCTGTGCAATCAAGCTACAAATGCAATGGTATGAGATACCAAAAAAAAAAACGCAAACTGAATTAAAGTCGAAGTCATACCTCTTAATTTGCATTCTCAGTTGGTATTAATGCAGCTTTAATTAAAAACGCGATATGCTTTTAAAAAAAAGGAATAATCGGCGAGTGATCCGTAGGTTTATGATCCAGATATTTTGTCCTGTTTGGTTTGGCGGACAGTCTTGTCTAAACGAAATCGTATTAAATTGCTCTTAATTGTTTCCTTGATGGTCCCTATATAGGAAGAGATGGTGAGATAGTAAAGGCTAATCCTATATTAAACTAGGCTACTGGATATACCTTTAACCGGGTTGTGCAAAGTTAAATGGTGAATTGCTGGTGACTAGTCGCCATTTAGTTTCCTAGTCCCTGAGATAACCTAGTTTTGAATGCCAAACTGATGAAGTGAACATTATTCAGGGTGCAAAGTCACGCACGGGCCAACTTAAGGCAAAGCAGCTTTGAAAAGGCACCTAATTCACGTCTAAATCGTTGGTCTGCCTTTTTTTAATTTCAATATATATTTTTTTCAAAGAAACAACGTTTATTGAGTCGTTAATATCAGCGTTAGTATTTTGTTGGTTCTGAGCTCTTCTACTTCTGACAGTCAATTTGCTTTATGTTGTTTATTCGATGAGTGCATATTATTAGATACACACACACACACACGTGCATATTATTAGATACACACACACACACACGTGCATATTATTAGGTACACACGCACATACACACACGTGCATATTATTAGTACACACACACACGTGCATATTATTATAGCACACGCACGTGCATATTATTAGGCACACACACATATATATACACACATGTAAAATATGCATAAAACAAAGGAAGATCATCACTGTGAATCTGTCTTGATGAATCATGAGGCCATTCACCATGATGTACCATTCACTCCCTCTAAGGGGCATATTCCTTTGTTTTGGTGATCAGTGTGGTGGAATCAGTGTGTCTTTGCATTTTTCATCTCATTACATCTAAAATGTAGCAATCGAGGTGTGTTATTCGCATGTATGTAGGTGCACATTGTGTTGTCTGCTGATATGAGAGTCTTAAAGTGGTCTGTGAAACAAACGACTTCACTGTCATGGCAGCACTGCCTCCAGTGCTACTGCAGTTACCATGGCACAGAATTTGAGTCGACAGCACTGTCTTGACTAGATAACAAGAAAGCTGAAAATCATCCTGTAGGTTTTCAATGTTTTGTCATTTCTGTCTCAGATTTGTAGTACCGTGCATTTTCAAAGGGCTTTCCACAATTATCTACTATTAATTATGTTTTCCACTTACATTAATCTGAGTGGTTCTCTTCTCGGAGTCATAAAAGCCTGTATTTTGAATGTATTAGGTAGATGTAAACAGCACAACTGCTAGTGCTAATGGCTTCCTTATTTTAGAACCGAATACCACTGCCACTATTGACATAATCTTACTAAACAGAGTTCTACCCCAAACCCCTGGTGATTTAGTACTTCTTATCTGTTTTTTTTATGTTACAGACTTTTAATAGTGAAAATCTGGCAGCAAAATTGAAGACAGAAATGGCATTAGGATAAATTATAAGAATATAACACTCAACGTTCCAGTTTCCAAAACAAACATCTTCAGTTTGATGTATTTTGAACATACATTGTTATGTTCGAAGAAGTACAAATGCCAAACAACCTCTTCTTGCTTTTTCTCCTTAAATGCTGACGTCCTATACACAGAGCCACATGGATAAACAAGGTTAAAGTGACCATAGTTTTATTCTGTCCTCAGTGGCCTGTACTACGAAGTGGGGTTACTGGTTTATTGGGGTAACTTGCCAGATTTAAGGTAGTCTAGGCAAAATGTAAGTGAACAAATATGAAGTCCATTTAAACTGTGGTACCTTAAATCCGTCAACTTACCCCGATAAACCAGTAACCCCACTTCGTAGTACAGGCCACAGGTGTGTCATGTTTTGTTTTTACATCAGGGCATAGTCCTGGTATATTTGAAGCGATACGTAGGTGATCTTCAGCATTCCTCATACTTACTGCTGTTTGAGTCCCAAAAAGAAAGTATTTTGTTATACAAATGCTATTAAATCCTTCTCTCAAAACCCAAACAGTATCTTCTGCCTACTCATTTTTCTCTCAATTGATTTATGTTAGGACAAGGATTTTGGAGTATAAATTGAGAGAACAACGATAAGATTTTCAGGGCCGATCCTTTTTTTTGGAGATGGAAGACAGATTAGTAAAAAATAGGATAAATTATATTGTGAATGAGGGGGAAAATATTGGATAGTGCGTGAGTTCACAAATGCACGATCAAATACTCAGGTCAAGTTCAGGAGCCTTTCGCATGTCTGTCGGATGTTTCTAGTGCTGGCTAAAAACAGCTGTGAATTTGATCCCACTCTCCTGTTATTTCCGTAGCACCGGTGGTCAGTGGGAGTCCCAGTGAACACCTCTGGGATCACAGGCATCCTATAGGATTAGAAATGGAATCGGGAGAAGACTCCAACGTAACTGGAGTTCCTGAGTGAGAGGAACTTGAAATAGATATGCTTGTGTTCCTCAAGCGACGCTGCCAGCAGAGTCCTTTGAGTGTTTTATGGTGTTTACTTGCATTAAAATGGAGTGTGTGCAGGTCTCTGCGTGTGATTCCCAGCACAACATTGACCTAAATAAAATTTAATCTTCCCATTGAACTAAAAAAATAAGGACATTGAATTGTCTGTGGCATATGTGTATAAGGCTTCAAGTACCTCTTGTGAAAAGGGATACACACCATGTTGAGGATTTTTTTTAATTAATGCATTTATTTTATACATGTGCCCAGATTCCATAATGTAACCTAGAGGGGGGAAGTTAATGTAACTGGCTCCACCCAGAGGTTTAACATGTGGCCTGAAAATACCCTGGCACATGACACATGAGAAATGCCGGAAATGACAGCTGTGATCTCCTGTGCAGCTCTCAGAACCTAAACACAGAGCTATTTGAGGTCAACTTTACAGTCAGTTTGCAGAATGACAGAACACACTAGATGCTCTGCCCCTTTTGTTCTCCTTAAATGGCGTGGATGGAGGCTAAAAAAAGTACTTAATCATTTTTTGCTTTAAAAGATTTTTAAATACATTTCCAATACAATAGTCCTTAATTTTCCATTCATACAAATAATTGCCTTTGGCCTGCATCATTACACTTCTTTCGACAAGAATCTTTCAATAGCTTATAACAGGCATTTTTCGGAATATAAAATCAGAGACCTGCGCCAGATTTCCCTTTCATGTTCAAGGATACAGCAGAAAAAAGGAGCATTTACCCTTTTAAAACATTAGCATACGAATTTTAATGTAGCAGTTCCACATTTTTCAAGAATGATTGGACACACTTAGATGTTCTATATATAAAAATTGAATGTGCATAAAATTCAGATGTTAGATGACAGCATTTAAAAATGCTTAAAAGTTATTGCTTAAAACTATGGCATATTTTCCAGATTAAGTGGGGATTGCGTGGATTTAATATTTTTCGATGAGTAATAAAAGGAAATGATGGAATTTTGTCCAGTTTTAATGAATTCAATAATATCACAGGTATTGCTTTCTCCATTTGCCTTTTTGGCTTATGGCTATATCTCCCCTTTAGGGTTGGTAATTACTCCTGATGCTTTGTAGGCCCTTCGGATAGACTAAAGCGCCAGAACATTCCTTAAGGGATTAAACTAACTCAAAACTTGAAAGTAAAGAGAAGTAAACCCAGAACAATGTAAAATACTTAATGTAAGATATATTCTCAGTAACGTCCGTAACAGTTTTGTATCACCGACGCAGATCGTGGTATAAATTAGAACCGTCTACAAAAGGATCCACACTGTTATATGAGAATATACGTAAATGCCGGCTTTACCGCGGCGAATTCCCTCGTTACATAAGGCTGTCGTGGAAATCCCGAGTCCTGCGATTTCTGAATGGCTTTCAGAGTGTAGCTAGCAACAGGTACAATTTCTCGACGATGCCGTTACAGAATTAGTACATATTGCAGTATATGTTTTAAGAGAAAATTCTTGTGTAAATGTTAATGGAAGAGCCATAGAATGAGTAGTCCCTATTGTTCCGAAATGTTGCAGTTTCCCGTCTCCCCCAGGGGTCTGCTGTGAGACTGTCTGGGTCGGGGTGACTAATCCTGAACTTTGCATATTTGCGCCGAATCTGTTGCCTCTGACGTCGGAAGACCGTAATTCCAATTTTTGTTTCAAAAGCCTGAAAGCGTCTGGTTACTTTCCAAGCCGGTGAATGCGAACGGGCGATTGGGTATAGATCCTAACTACATTATTGTGTTAAATGGAAAACAGGAAACGCGAGTTTTATTATACGTGTGAAGTGGGATCTCAAGGGAGTGCTACGAGTGTTAGGTACAACTTGAAAGAAAAACAGACATGTACGTCACTGGGGTGCTTTCACATCGGACAAAGGCGCATTTTTAATTGTTGCAAACAATTTTTGCCATGTTGTGTGTCTTTATAAGGTTTATATATATAAACATTATATATATATATAATGTCCTCATATTGGTTGTATAATTTCATATAAGCTTATGTAATGAAAAGTAAACCATGTCTTTAATGGGTAACGACGTGAATAGAAAAGGTTTGAAGAAAGGAGCTTGCATTACTGTTCGCACACATGGTACCCTGACAAGGTTACTGCAAATCCATGGTCAGGTGGTGCATGGCGCAGCTGACAAGCTGCGTACGCTGTTGTCTATTTCCGTTACTGGTATCACACATCTTGTTTTCCTCATTCGCTATAGTGTGTTAATTCTTTTGTTGCATTGATTTTTTTTATTGAGATATAACAATGATAGATTTTTAGGACTTGATCAACGCCTTTGTAGAAATATTCTGAAGCGCATATAGATTTCACATTACATGTAATGACTTAAAGCAACTATAACCTGAATGCATCTATTCCAGTAATTTTACGCGTGTTCATTTAAGTTATAAAGCATCAAAGTAACTCCTGCTGAAAATCATCCGTTTTTATAGGCCTATAGATCTCCAGTTTGTGGCACTGCAGTAAGTTATGATAAATCCTGTGTCTTCCCTGTTTTCAGATATATGTCTTTAAATATTATGAACAGCGTGTTTTTGTTTACGCAAGTACAGATCCCTTATCTTTGTGCTGCTACGTTATTTTTGCAAAATGTTTACATTCGTCTCTGCGTTTTTTCCAACATGTAATTGAGTGATAAGTTAAATTGCTTCCAGTCTCTTTATAAAATGAGATATAATGTAATGGCCTTCCAGAAATGGGGGAAATGTTTCTTATATCTAAAAAGGAACTGGAAAAGGAAAGAGTGGTAACATCCAGTGGTGCATTAGGATGTTGACAATACATAGTTCAGTCACAATGGGCTTAACGAAAGTGTGTACTAGATGTTTGTAAGCACAGCTGCCTGTCTCCATGAAGATAATACTGTTCTTGTGCAAAGACAGCTACTTGCAATCTCCTCCTAATTATAGATCTTAATTTAATCAATCCTTTACTGCTCCCACCCCCCATTCATAAAAATGAAATAGATCTGGCCGTAAGGCAAATAGGTATAGTGCTGTGACAGCTGTGATTATATTAGGGTTCATTGCATCTTCCTACACTGTCTAAACGCTGCCTAAGTCACACATCATGCGGTAGAGAAACATATTTTTACAGCTAATGACTATTTTAAAGCATCAGTGTTACTTCAGCATGTTTTTAAAGGGTCCAGTATTGAGCTGAGACGTCTTGTTAATGTCTTGATTATGTCTGCCTTGATTATCTCATTAGGAGAGATCCATAACAGTTTTTCTTTTTTTATTGTACTACAGAGTCAATATCCATTATTACTCTCCAAATGTTGTTTAAATGTGAGTTGTTTTCCAATGGATCTTTTAAGAAGACAAACATACACAGACATCACAAATAAACATTCTGCATGGAAGTTCCATATTACCCATATTTAAAACCATAAAAGGAGAGTTCCAGAAGTGTATGTTTGTTCAGTTTATTAAAGGTATAGATGTGTTTGACAACATTTTGCATTTATTTAATTTTGGAGTTGTTTATTGTTGCAGATGTGTACATTAAGTGTAATATTGTTTCAGTTTATAGATCAACAGAGAACAGTGGCCCTTTGACATGAATGGACATTGGATAACCTTTCCTCTGTTGTTTTGTACTGTTTTCAAGGTAAAAGTCACTTTCTATTTTTTAACCTGATATAAATGCTGATGGGTTTATCTTAGTCACAAAATTTATTGGACATCAGGTATTGAAAATTCATTTGAACCTTGAACGTTTAAAAAGGTTACTGATTTATATTTGATGTCAATCTTGCATACAAATACTAGCCGAGTTGCTTCTACACCTAGCTGCTTCTGCTTTTTTTCTACGAAATAGGTCTTGGTAGCGGCTAGTCCAGAGGAGAACCAAACGGAACCGGCAGATAATATGTTCCATGACCCAGGAGTCACCAGGAACAAGATTGTCACGGCTCAGTTTGAGTGCTATCAGAAAATCATGAAGGATACTGATCACAACAGAAAAGGTAATTTGTGTGTGCATGCGTGCGTGTGTGCGTGCGTGAGAGAGAGTGATGAACATCTGAACATTGGGCGAATCAGAAGATGTACCGTTAAATACACAACGAAATGCCATGGTGTCATCTTATGTGCATATTTACAGAAAGATTATTGTAGTTTAAAAGTAAAATATTCATATGTGGAGACAGGTAAATGTCATACCAATCATGTACGTACAATGTAATTGTAGGCTCAGGTATTATGGGCCCACAGAAGTTATAAGCACTATGACAGTGTAACCTCAAATCTTATTACATGGATATGCTTAAGGAGAATAGCCTATTGTTTTGTCACTCAATTTTCTTATTTATGACTAATAAATAATTAAATAATTGTGTCGTTTTAAAAGGACCTATAGCATTTACAAAAATTCTCTTTCAAGACATTTCTCTGCTATTGTTGCCCTTAGCTGTTTGACACAGCATTGCCATGCTTTGCTATTCACAGTAAAAGAAAGCTTTCTCCCATTTTTCATGAATCCTTCAAGTAAAAAAAAAAATCAGTCTTGATTGTTTAATGTTCAGTGGGATTTTAAATTTTTTTATGGATGACTGCTAGTTGTAACAGTATCAAGAAAGTTTTATTGTCTATAAAAACTAGTCTCACTGTATTTTTTTTCCACAGTATATATAAAATGAGTAACAATATTTGACACTTTCTATTGAAAATGCAGTAGTGATTTATAAATGTTTTTAATTGGTTAAAATACGTGATGAAGGCAAAAGGTACTGCAAAGGACTACTGCTAAACTTAATTATACAATTATCATGGAAGTTGTGTTTGACAAATAAAGTACTTGGTCATACTGCTGCTAACATTGGCTTTATGTGTGTAGTGGTATAACATCTCAATAACCAACCAAAGGGAATGGTCAGAGAAACATTTGTAGCATTTGTAGCATTTATACAGTTTAAGACACATGACTCAACATTTTTTACTCCACTGGTGCATTTTGGCAGTTACTACTAGGGAGTTACAGATAAATCAGATAGGATAGCTTTTATTTCCATATGTTTCAGCAGATCACAACTATTAATGGAACCAATCAGCAGTTACATTTATGCCCTTGGTGGGTCTTGCTCTCGGACACCATTGATCACATATACGACATTTTCGTTTATACTTTCACAGTATCTGTCTAGCCCTCCATATTTCCATAACCTCATATCTATTACACAGCAATGGCGTCTGGAGCCCATCCAAGGAACATAGGGCAAAAGGCAGGGGACACCCTAGGCTGGTTGCCAGTGCATTGCAAGGCACAGTGATGCAGACACTAACGACAATTTTAGAGACATCAGTTAACCTAACTGGTGTCTCTAAATTACATACACACATGCACACACATACACACACAGATTAGGTATTCATATCTTTGTGGGGACTCTCCATTCATTTATATGGGCATAATCTTAATCCCAGCTATGACAACCTGAACCCCTACTCAGCCCTATCCTTAACCAATAGTAATCAAACAAAAGACATTTTTAGTTTTTTGATTGCATTCACAGATTTTCCTCTTGTTGAGACTGAAAGAAATTCCCCACAAAGTCAAAATAACAGGTTTCTATCACAGTGTTGGGACATTTGGTCGCCACAATGTAATGCATACATAATCCCCCCCCCCCGTCCCCCGTCCCCCGTCCCCCATCCCCAGACACACGCACACACACAGGCACACACAAACACACACACTAACCACTGTAGTGCTTTAAACAAAGAACATAAGATCAAGATAAGAGTGAGAATAGCAATAGCAAAGGAAGGCCTATAAATCTCAATACATTGCAAGTTCTGCATATGCAGACTTTTTCACTTATATTCTCACAACATGTTATTGTGAAATATGAGACTGAGGACAGCACTACTGGGGCAAAGAGACTGAAATGTCACTAAAGCCATCATGACCACATGACAAAACAGAAATGATGATTTTCATATTGTTACGAGCCCCAGTCTGGGGTTGGGGCGTAACAGAGTGAAAGGGAAAGGAGAAGTGGAATAAGGGAAACACAGGGTGTGGTTCACAAGGGAACTGCATGTATGTTTTTATATTTTTCTGGTTTTTAAATTACACGCAACAGACACATAACAAATTAACCCGGTGCAGAAGGACTCAGGAGTGATTATAGCTACCCCAGCTATCAAACGCAACCCAAATCTTACTTATCTAAGTGGAGATAAATCAAGGAACCAAAAATGACAAATACTACTCCTTACTTCCTAACCAAACAGCCACAAACTCGTAAACAAAAATGGCAACCACTCCCTACGCACCTAACAAACACACAGAACATACACAGGGCAGAGCGTCAGAATCCGAGGGGCGCACGAAGATGTAAACGAAAAACCGGGCGAGAGATCAAAACCAGAAAGCAAACAAATTAAGGCAAATGTACAGATAAGGGCAAAGCGAATAATCAGAAACCAATAAACCAAAAATCGTCATACAAAATAATCCAAAACAATAACGCAAACCAACAGTAATCAAAAGTATGAGCAGCGCTCCTGAGGTTTCTTGCTGTCAGGCTTTTCACCTCGGCTGGACAGAAGTGACGGATGGTCTTGCGGGGAGTCGTGGGCGGGGTTCGGACGGAGAGGCGGAGCAAGGGTCGAACGGCGTGGACTTGGCCGTGGGCGGAGCTGGACATGCAGTGGCGCGTAACGATATATAAAATGTCATTAAATAATTTCAATGCATGGAATACAGACAGATTGGTGTGTATGTGTGCCCAGTGATGGGTTGGTGCCCCTCTTAGGTTGTTCCCTGCCTTGCACTTCCAGTATAGGCTGTGGACCCCTCCGCAACCTTGAATAGGGTAAGCGGTTAGAGAAAATGGATAGATGGATGGGTGGATGAATAGAGAACATGGACACTAACAAATGGATATGCCTCAAACTGCATACACACAGCGCCAGGTCTTCTGTGTCTTAAATGTTCTCTTAGTACTTTTTGAGTACTCTTTCACTGTCAGGACTGGGGCTCTTCACTTGAAGGGCATGCCAGAGTGTCAGCAAGGATGAACTCAAAGGGAGAAGAGAGGGAATCCAAAATTGTGTAATGAAGCCTTAACCAGAGTGAGTGTAAACAGATTGATTGATGAATTAACTACAGATGTGAGTGGTTTTTGCTTGAAATCATCTTGAGGTTGGTGTTGCTTTGGCGGACGATGATGCTTCCAAAGGGTAACGTTACAGAATGTGGACCAGATGTGGCCAAAAGCAGTAGAGATAGCTATTTTTTCTTTTGTTTTCCTTTTTTTTTTATTCCTCTTTTTTCCTCACCCAAGCTCAGCCAAATGGCTTACCCACCCAATGTGCGATGACTTCCTACAGATCCTGCCTGCAGCCGGACGTGGGATGGCTGGCTGTGCTGGGAAGACACGCGGGCCGGAATCACTGCCGAGCAGCACTGCCCCGACTACTTCCACGACTTTGATCCCTCAGGTCAGTGTGTATGTCTAGTTTAGCATGTTCCCCAGTAAATGGCTAATTGCTAGGTTTTTTTGTGATCATTGCTTGTCCTCAAAACTTTTAATTAAAAACTTTCCCAAGGGTTGTCTTTAAGTTAGCTTGAATGTTTAAAATTTTTAAAGAAAGTTCTTTTACAGATGAGCTTGACAAAAGTATAAGTAATTCAAGATGGATTGTGTCTTTCATTTTCAAAGAACATTTTGAATGTATTTGTATTATTATTTTGGTCTGCCACCGAACTGTTAACTGCCAGTTGCTTAGATGGTACTGACCACTGCTGGTACTGGAATTGAAATGATCATCCATCCATTTATCTTCCAACTGCTTTTTGAATGCAGTGTTGCATGAACTTACCATTATATTTTCATTCATGTTTTCAGTTTCACTTAATGCAAAGAAAGCTGGTGATATCATCAAAGGTTTATGTTTTGAAATTTTGTATCAAGAAATGACATATTGACAAATGACAATTGTTCTGATTGCTGTGTGTTTCGTGAACAGAAAAAGCAACAAAGATTTGCAATGTCAATGGACACTGGTTTTTGCATCCTGAGAGTAACAGGACATGGACCAACTACACTCGCTGTATTGAGCATACAGATGAAAGAAGAATGGTAGGTTAAAACAGAATCTTGCAGTGAAATTTAATTAGTAGAATAATTTGAGCGAAGCTCTTTGATACTTTTTAACACTATGACTAATAAAATATGCCTATTTGTTATAGCCGACTTCATTTCTGCTTGCATTTTTCTCTCCTGTAGACGGCAATGAATTTGTTATACTTAGCTCTAATCGGTCATGGGTTATCACTGACGTCCCTCTTCATTTCGCTGGCCATATTTTTTCATTTCAAGTAAGTGAAAAATATATTTTAAGATGAACTGATCTTTTTGCAATGTGGTGCTTGATTTTAATTTTTGTGTTTGATGTTTGAATTGTTATAATATTAGCTCTAATGTTATCCATTTTGTTGTTCTCTTTCCTGTCAGGAGCTTAAGTTGCCAAAGGATAACGCTGCACAAAAACCTTTTTTTCTCCTTTGTTTTGAACTCTGTTATTACAATAATTTCATTGACAGTCGTGGCCAACAATCAGGAGCTGGTACAGCAGAACCCTGTAAGACTCTGTGTTTATTTGGTGGGATTTAATAATATTCATTACATTGGGAATAACAAGAAGACACTGTCTAGCAAAATAAAATTTCTAAACCAAGCTGTGTAAACATGCAATATATTTAGATTTGACACTGGAATGACATCCGTTTGTTTTCGTTTGTTTATTTAGACTAGCTGCAAAGTGTCACAGTTCATCCATCTATATCTTTTTGGCTGCAACTACTTCTGGATGCTCTGTGAGGGAATTTACCTGCACACTCTCATCGTGGTTGCGGTTTTTGCTGAGAAACAGCACTTAATGTGGTACTATCTTCTTGGGTGGGGTAAGTTAGGTTTTTTTCCGCTTGTCTTTTCTCTTCTCTTGTTCTCTTTTTTTCCCCTCTTGTTCCAGTCATTTTTCTATGTAATAATGTCCTAATGAGCATGACTCATACTTATTTTCAGGATTTCCACTGATTCCAGCCACCATACATGCGGTAGCCCGAAGTTATTACTACAATGACAAGTATGTCTTTTTCCCTCATTTTGTAGCTATTAAATGTGTTTATCATAGAGTCTTGTGTTTGTTCAAACAAATATGAGTATTATGGTTTTATTGTAAGAAACATATAGTTTATTTATCTATAACAGCCATCCCAACATATTTTCCCCAATGTGTTTAACTAAGAATAAAACAATGATGTCACTACCTGACATACAGATGGTAAAGGTTAAAATAGCAGAAATAAATGGTGAATGAAAGCCACAGGGCATCAGTGAAGAGGGGACAAAAGAACGGCATAGCTTGATATGAAACATGAGAGAAGCACATGCTTTACGTTACTTCTGTCTATTCTTACAACAATTCAATTCAATTTTATTTATATAGTGCTTTTAAAAACGGTCATTGTCACAAAGCACTTTACAACAGAGAAGTCTTCAAAAATTCACCCCAGATTAGTTCAAATAAGACTCAAACACCTTTTTTAGTAGGAGCTGAGTCCTGATATCAATCATATTAGAATTAATCAGCACTCCACTTATTTGGGTGGAGTGAACAATCAATGATTTTCTTTTTTATTTGTAGTTGTTGGATCAGTTCTAATACTTCTTTGCTGTATATCATCCATGGCCCCATCTGTGCTGCTCTAGTGGTAAGCCTATCATCACAGTCTCCTAACAATATCAGGTCCTCATCTTCTCAATTTCTGAACTGTTGTATTTGTTTGAGTCGTGGGCATGATAAACAGAAATCTAAAGTTCACCTGGAGTGGAACTCAATCAAACTTCCTGACATGCCCCAAAATCACATCCCACAAGAGCCTTTTTTATCATGCATCGTTGAAAGGCTGCTCTAATGTTTTGATCTCGCTTCAGAGAGTTCGTGCTATTACCCATGCTCTTGCAGTGTACGATTACTTGGGTGGGTCCGCATGTTGATTTAATCTGGGCCTTTATCAAATGTCTTATTGAGATGAAAACATTTTGTATGAGAGTTTAAATTACATTTTCTTGAAACTTTAATGCAGCCATTTTCCCACAAAATAATCAGAGTACTTTTTATATGGATTGTCTTCAGTCTTGCATTCCATAACTGATGAAGCCCTTTTTTGAACTTTGACTTCCCTGTTACAGGTCAACCTGTTTTTCCTGCTGAATATTGTGCGTGTCTTGATCACCAAGCTGAAGGTGACACACCAAGCGGAGTCCAGCTTATACATGAAAGCAGTCCGAGCCACTCTGATTCTGGTCCCCCTTCTGGGAATCCAGTATATCCTACTGCCTTACAAACCAGATGGTCGGGTTGCATCAGAAGTCTATGAATATGTTATGCATATCCTAATGCACTATCAGGTGAGAGTAGCTGCATTTTTTTCTTTTGTACACATTTAACAATCTTTACTAATACACGCTACCTGAACAGTACTAGAGTTTGTTATGTGAAATGGAATTAAGGGTTTTACACTGTCAGAAAAAAGGGTACAGCTCTTTGTACCCCCAATAGTATAAATTTATTCCTCAGAGTCCATTTCTGTACCTTAAATTAGACTAAAAGGTACAATTACTTACAGGTAGAGTATATTTCTCAGGCCTTTGAGGATACAGCCCTCGTTCAAGTAATTGTACCCTCAAAGGTACAAACTGGTATTTTTTATGTATGACAGCAAACAAAAAGGTGGTGAATTTAAAAATTCAGATGTAGAATATTTCCCCTTACAACCTGTATATTTAAACGTGCATTTATGTTTATTTTGCTTCAGAAAGTATGACCTTTGTCCAAGGTTCATGCATCATAGTACAGCTGGCCATTTCACACGTTTTCTATTTCAAGGTTTGTGTCTGAATGCAGGCTACAGCGAGACAGTGTTGAGTGGTGAAATCCTAGATGCGCTTTTCAATTTCTTTTTCAGGGTCTGCGCTGAATCAGCACTGTTAGCTCTGCGCTGCGCTGTCAGCAATGATGTAGAATAGTGTTACAAATTAAATGAACCAGAAACATTCTAATGCTCCAAATAATTAAGATTATTAAGTCAAAAAGTATGTTTGCTGTTAGCAAGTACTAATGCACTTACATTTTATCTTAGGGGTTGCTGGTGGCCACAATTTTCTGCTTTTTCAATGGAGAGGTAAGGTTTGAATGCTTATGCTTTGATTCTCTCTGCTGAACGACCATACTGTAAATGCATATCATTCTAATCCAGGGATCAGTTTTACTGCCAGTTAGCAAAATGAAGTATCGTCCTATAAAATGACTCACCCCCACTGTCCCCTCTTTAGGTGCAGGGCGTTTTGAGAAGATACTGGATTCAGTATCGCATACAGTTTGGCAGTGGCTTTACGCACTCGGACACGCTGAGGTCAGCGTCTTACACTGCCTCGTCCATCACAGAAGTCCAGGGTTGTTACAGCATTGATGGCCACACAGAACACTTCAATGGCAAAGGCTGTAATGATAGTGAGACCATCTTAAAATCAGACAATCTGCTCACCTGAATCTATTCTGTATCATCAAGTCACTACTGGAGCGTCGACTGATAAAATGTGTATTTCTAAGCCATTGCTCACATGGTCAATCTCCCTCCTCAATTACTGTAAGAGTTCTTTTGAGTGCCAAAATACACCAAAGCTATTATTTTAGTGTAATTACCCAACTTCCTGTGCTACTCATTATGAAGAAAAACTGGCACCTAATTTTAAATGGGACAGTCATTTGTATTGCATTTATTGATGATGTATTGGAATCTGCATCTACCAGGTTTAATTATCCTTCTTATCAGTCTTAACCCTCTGGGGTCTACGGGTAGGGGACACACTTTCACTAACTGGGGCATGGTCACACATTTCATTCAATATCATAAACTTAATGTACTGAATTAAATTCTGACTAAACATTCTATCAGTAAAAGGCGTCCATTAGTGGCTTACATCATATTTGATTGAACTGCCAAAAATTCTGCCAGCACAGAAAGCTTTGCATCAGTACATTGGATTCTCAGTTATTTCCTTATGTAGCTCAACGGCAACAACAAACAAAATAACTATGGACACAGAGTAACTGTGAACTGAGAAGGGTAGGAAGCAGAAGAGAGAAATGTTAACTGTTAGAGCATTTTAAAACTGCTGAAAATCATTGTTACCTGTCAAGGTACCTCTGTATTTTATATGAAAGATTGCTACCTTAGTATACATTACTGTCACATTTCATTTTGAAACCATTGTAGAAAGTATATAATTTCTGTGTTTAATTTCAGGTAAAATTTGGCACCATATTTTAGTCTTTATGTCTGCCTGTATGTAGTTTGTTTGACCTGTTATGTAGATTGTCTAAAATAGTCACATTGAGATGTTTCAAAAGCTTCATGGTGATTTTGTGTGTGGTGCTTATGTGCCATACTGTGATATGGTATTTTAAAATTATTTGTGAGAGTACAGATGCTCTTCAGCTTACAATGGGGTTATGTTCCGATGAACCCATCGTAAGATGAAAATATTGTAAGCTGAATATGAATATGATATGATTGATAGGTAAGTAACTGTATGATACGTTGTTAAAGTATGAGATGGATGTATATACGCTCACAATGGTTACAGAGACTGGAAGCGTGGCTGCAAACAATTTGCCATTGCTCGGCATGAGTTTGGAAAAGATCAAAACTCAGTTTGGTCTGATGACTACTGAGTGTGGATCACTATCACACCATCGTAAAGTCGAAATATCATAAGTCGAACCATCGTAAAGCGAGAAGCATCTGTAATGTACTCTTTTCAAAAAAAAAATATTCTCTGGGGCTATAGATCTACTGCAGGCATAAGCATTGAAACAATATGCATGCAAACCCTGTGTGAGAGGTATTGTATCTCTAAATCTTAGGAAATGTTGATCTAATGTCTGTCTATCTAACTTGGAGAAGGGCAAGCAACATTTCCGTGTTCTGATTAAACATTTCTTAATGGGTTAAACATCAGTATAAATTATAGTGCAAAATTGCTGTACACATTTACAGTATTTTGGTATTGATTTCTTATTTCCCCCATTGTCATGCATCAATGAATTCAGGTAAAAAAGATTATGATAATGCTTTGTTAATGTCATATGCACATCAGATTATCAGTAGAAACTACCATACAAACTAATTCTAGCCCTGGTTTTATCGTTCAGCCTTTGCCAAAGTATTTGGCACACAAATAGTTTGGCATGCTAATCAGATGTGTGTTGATTTAACAGAAAAATGGTGCATGACTGAATATTTTGTTTATGGCTGCAAATGGTTGTAAATAAGAAATGAAGAAGTGACCCTTCTTACATTCCCTCAGGGGTTAGGCGTTTTTCCTGACCGTAAACTAGTTTGTTTGTTTTTTTGACATATATTTATCTACTTTAGGCATCATAGAATATGTTTGTGGGCACTCAAATCATTACATGCGTAAAAGCTGAGGATAAAATTTACAAGCTATTGTAAACGGTTTTTTAAATTCAGGATTTAGTTTGAAGGTTATGTCTGTCATATGTTCATATATTTATATTTGATGCTGTGTGGATAACAGATATAGGTATATTTAATCAGCAGTATTTTTATGAATTGTATTAGATGAAAGTGCTTAGGAAATAAGCAACATTTGTATTTTCACTGTAATAACAAAGACCTGTCATCAGAGGTGACGAGAAGTTTTTTTTTTTTTTAAATGTCTGTTACTTGTACTGTATTGTTCTCAATTGAAAAGGGACTCCTGAGGACTATTTGCTGTATGATTTTTTTACTACTTTGCGTGTTCTCATACTCATGACAATCTTCTATCACAATGATGAAGTTGTTGCAATGATGTATTGTATATTATCACGCAATTAAAAAGAACTATCCCCTAATGGCTGTATCGTGCTTGATTGTAACGCCCTCTGTAACAATCAGTGTTAACTCTTTTGTCCATGTGTTTCAACTTTATTTAAAAAATTGTTATTCTCTGATACTGTGCAAAAATGTTTGTGTGCCAACTTAAAACAAGGAAACATGAATCCGGCTTTATTCCGTGGCCACTGTTGCAAGTGTGAGCCTTCCAAGATTTTATAAATGTGCTATTTTCTACCAGCTTACTCAGAATGACACAGATACAGTTCAACTCAAGGCCATTGTCTCATCCTGGTACCAAGAACAGCTATGAAATCATCAGAAATAAGGATGGTGACATCCGACTGACAATTTGCAGTAACATGATTACAACTCTGTGACGTGAATTCACTCATAAGCCTTCCCATCACATAGAAGGATGTCAAAAATGACCAGGCCTTAAATAATATAAAATCAGTAATATTATTGCAATACTTGGACAGGTTGGAATCCTGTCTCCTGGTTCCCGTCTCCTGGTTCCCATTTGCTTATCCTCTTCCCTGAATCCCTACTTTCCATGTTCACCATTCTTCCACATTTGAATCCTCAACCTGCTCCATTTCTACCAGTACAACTGGTTCAGTCAGTTGCTCCAAGTCAGCTGCGTGTGTATGATCAAATTCACTAACCGAATGAGTCACTGCCCCCAATATAATCCCAAGCCGATGAACTAAGTAATTTACAATAATAATTTTACATATTTATATTTAAACATATGTTTGAAGAGCCTTTCTTTAAATTACTGGCATCCCATCCAGGCTGCACTCCTGCCTTATGCCCCATACTGCCCCGGAAATGCTGCCCCAGCAGCTGGAAGATGGATAACCTTCTTTAAGCCATTATTACTTTTTACATTTTCAATGAAATTAATCATAATTGGTTGTGAACACTATTTTATACATATATATTCTTGTTTTAAGCAAAAACCACATTTGAGTTCTCTCCACTCTTGTTGCTTAACTTGCTCTCCTTAGAATAATTCCTCTGACTCTATATGTGAAGATTTTTTATCTTCAGCCCAAATTTGCAATGCTTTCTGCCAGGTACTCCCATTTCTCTACTGTGGTCCAAAAACCTGCATTTCAATGAATCTTTATCTCCAAATTGCCCTTACTAGACTCTACAACATACAAATTCTGGTCATCGACACTGTTTACACAACAATTTTCTGGTGCCTCTGACCTTTATACACCTTCAAAATTGCACCTGACAAACTAACGCACGTGTTCAAGCAGAAAAGAATTTCCATCAGGAGGATTGTTATGAATTTAAATTGTTTCACAGAGAAACAACCAGAAGATAATTTTTCCAGAATTATTTCCTCAAACCAAATTTTAAATGCTGACTCAGTACAAAGCTAAAAATAGACAGATCTGAATTGGATTACCTATTTTAACATAACAAAAAAGATATATAACAGTAGTGCTCCTTTTTATAACCATTAATGCACAATATGCATAACTTGGTTTGTAAAATGTGGAAAAGGGCATTTTGAATGTTACGATGTCTTTGTGAATGATTGTGATTGGCACATATCAAAATTATCATTGATACATCCGTCCATTTTCTGTAACTGTGTATCCTGTGAAGGGTTTGGAGCCTATGGACTCAAGGCAAGGAACAACCCAGGATGGGGCATCAACCCGTTTCTGAGCACACTCACACACAATTTGGTAATGCCCATTAGCCTCAGCCTGTTTTTGGAGTGTGAGGGGGGGGGGGGAGCCAGAATACCCCAAGGAAACCCCACAATGACACAGGGAGAACATGCAAACTCCACACACATGGAACTCTGGTGGAGACTTGAACCCAGATACCCGAGGTGTGAGGTGACAGTGCTCACCACTGCACCACTGCATTTCCCTCCATTGATACATCTCTTGAATATAAAAAAGAATATTTTTGTCCCAGAAAAGAAAATAATATACAGTAGTAACTGTGAAATGATTATTGTACTTACTGTAAGCTCTGGCGTTACCACTTATCTGGGGAGGAGCGGTGCTGCAGGCCAGTGCAGTGGCTGCTTATGTTAAACAAAATAACACAAACGTTTGCAATGACTGGATAGGATGTAAACACTTATAATTGGGCGCTTCCACTATTTTACCCATTTTCAATAACTTCAATAACACCTTGATTTGCCCTGTAAAACACTGGCTATGGTACATTGATTTTCTTTTTGAAGAACTGAATGCCAGTTATTTATTCCCTTCCTGCTGTTTGACGGCTTTCATTGTGGTTTCAAGAAAAACAACTTTCAAGGATGACTAGTTTTACTTCATATTATCATATAATTTGCATTGATTATGGTCCAGTAGATTCCATGTGTTTCAGGTACAGGGTTAGGCCGCGATATAAAAATGAAACAGCTCCCAGCTTCCAGTTTCAAACATCTAACTTGGACTAAACTGCACATGTGCGTACACTCCTGACAGGAGCAAAAATATCTTTTATGTGACTATGTGTGATGCTCGACAAGAATGGAGCAGGCAGACCCCAATATACGGGAGCAAGTGGTTTGATTATATAGATCAGGCACAAACAAATGCAGAGGGGCAATCCAATCGGGCAGTCGGGTCACAGGCAGAGGTCGAATTCCGGGAAGATCAGTCCTACACCGAAGCACGTGATGAGGAGACGAGAGGCAGGAAGGAGTAGGGTCGGCACGGCAACGGGGCGGGACGGAGAAGGCAGGACACAGCGGGCAGGACGAACAGGGAGAAGAGACAAGGAGATTGCTTGGTAAGGCTCATTCAGAAAATGGCAAGAATACTTCGTGAGTAATGTCATGACAGCCAATCTTAAGTAACGAAGTGATCAGCTGCTGATCACCTGCCGGTGTTCGGCCCCGCCCATGTGGGTGTGACACTATGTGCCATGTGCAATAATACATGAAATGTGCAATACTACCCATCATATGTAATACTAGGTGTAAATACTACCCATCAAGTGCCTGTTTTATCATGGTACTATGTACATAAACATTATTTATTTTCTTACCCAACTATTCTTATTTAGTTATCTAACTATTCTACAGAGTATATTCTATCTTTATACAGCATATTTTTTTTTATTTTAAAATGTATTAGTATTATTATTTAGGGTCTTTTTACTAGCGACCATTCCAGGTGATGCACAGGAAATTTCATCATACTGGAAAGGTATTATGACGATAATGGCATTCTGTTCTATTCTATTATGGATTTATTATGATGAACAAGTCAGTTGACTTAACTATTACAAAATATGGATGGAAATATATTCTAAGCTGTAGCCAGCATGCATGTTTAAATTGTTTTGTGGGTAGGTATGTGCTGAGAGAAAGGCCTTTCAGTGCAAGAAACTTACAGTGGGAGTGGCAGACGGAGATAGAACCAAAGCAGCCAGCACTTTAAACACTTTGTCAATGTCTTTACACTCGATTCATTTTAGCAGATGCTTTTTTGCAAAGTGACATACAGTGGAGAACGTAGAAACAGCCAGTCCCTGGAGCTGCTGGAGGTTAAGGATCTTGCTCAAGAGCCCTTCAGTGAAACCACTTTTCTGAGCATGGGATGTGGACTAGCACCCTTCCCATCATGGGAACGCACTAACCTAACAAACTAACCTAACCCACTAACCTAAGCCACTAACCTAACCAACTAACCTAACCCACTAACCTAAGCCACTAACCTATCCAACTAACCTAACCAACTAACCTAACCCACTAAGCTAAGCCACTAACCTAACCCACTAACCTAAGCCACTAACCTAACCAACTAACCTAACCAACTAACCTAACCAACTAACCTAACCCACTAACCTAACCTAACCCACTAACCTAAGCCACTAACCAACTAACCTAACCCACTAAGCTAAGCCACTAACCTAAGCCACTAACCTAACCAACTAACCTAAGCCACTAACCTAACCAACTAACCTAAGCCACTAACCTAACCAACTAATCTAACCCACTAACCTAAGCCACACACCTCCTTCTTCAACGATTGTAATCTTCGCCTTAAACATAATGACAATGGTGGTAACTGGGTTGTGGGAAGAGGTTTTTATAGCACTTACAGTTTATTAAGCATCAGAGGATTTATTGCTGCTCTGCCTCAGCAGTTCCTCATGTGGGTCATTCTGGCAAGTCCAATAGGAGAATTATTACTTCCATGAGTCCTGCTCCAATTTCATACACTTACATACTGGATATGGTTGCAGGGGCCTGGAGCCTATCCCAGACAGCATAGGACACAAGACAGGAGGGCACCCTGGATAGCATTCCAGTGCATCAGCGGGCACATACACATAATTCAAAGACCTGATTGACCTGATTTGTTATTTTGTTAACACCATTTAAATGTGAACTGTGTTCATTTTAGGCTTCAGGCCTGGGACATAGGATATTTTCTGCCAGATCTGTACAAATTATCATTTTGGCTTTATATATATATAAAAAAAAAAAAAAAATACAGAACACAATCTTTATTATTTATGAGCAAACAGGTACAATGTTGCATTTCCCCCCCTTGTTACTCATAGTTTGCAAGGCAAATAATGCTAAATATAGCACATACACAATGTAATTATATAAACATCTCTCCAAGGTTTATATAACTAGGGAACTTATATTGATTGTTGAAGGTGTTCATGTATGAGTAATATTCATCTGCCTACAGACTTTTGAGCATAATTCAAATTTACATCAGCAGGAACTGTAGAGAATCCTTAGATATTTTGCTTAACCATTTATTACTTAAATTACTATAAAATTGCTATAAAACGTTTGAAACATTGTATAAGAAAACTGTAAAGATGAGATAATGCTTTTAATAAGTTCCGTTGAAAAGAGTGATGTAAGTTAGCTATGATAAGGGAATAGAAAAGGGAATATTTTATGCACATTGGTGGACTGAGAGACCTATTTCACAGGACAAATAGGGGTTCTCTATATAAAAAAATACATTATCTATATAAAATGATCTCTCCAAATCTAGTG